CGACAATCATAACATTCAATTTATAGGTCCACGGTGAAAAGACGAAAGGTGAGAAGTAAGAGAGGGGATAAAGAGAAAGATTTTACGCAGATACAACTTTATTTAACAATGAATAAATGTGTAAGCCAGGATGTAAGCGATATGCGCTTATAATAAACAACGTAACGGTGTAAGCCCCGTTGCCTCTTCCAACTTACGATTAGTAGGTTTTGGAATTTATTGAAAATTATTACATTTAATTTAGTGAAATTACATCTTATTTAATTAAATTTGATATAACTAATGATTAAAACTGTTTGGGTTGAGTTGCAATGAAATAGGTCGAATTATTTTAGCTTTTTTAATATATGTAAATAATTTTGTAATCAAAACGAGAATAATGAAATAGCCATATGACAACAGCGGATATTATACCCGCTGGTGTCCCTTAGAATATGTCTTATTCAGACACGATATTTGTTAGTACTTAAATCTCCTGTTATCTCTGGTTTTATATTACTCAGAGGCTGCTGTTTTAAATTATAATGGTGGGGATGGTTTGTAGGAGTTTGTTTTTCAGAGGAGCGTGCATGTGTTTTACGAATGAATGAGTATTTACGTCTACGGTGCTTGCTTTACACTGCTATCACACTTCAAAATTAATTACGTATTTTCCAGGAAAACACATTTAGCTATGATAGTTGCAATCATAAAAATACATTAAACTGATAAAACTGGCATTCAGAACGCAAGACAGAAAATGGTCCCGCAAACGCCCGGTACAATCGCAGAAAATCGGGGTGGTTTGATCTACAACTATTCGAAGACTGGTTTAAATCTATTGTGCTCCCTTATTTTAAAAAACTTGAAAGGCCATAATATTCGCATCTAACGGAACCTCTATATCAGGCCTGCACAACATACGGCCCGCCATTGTCGTTTTCTTGGCCTTTTGTCCGTTGACCAGTTTGGCCCGCCTACGTCAGACTATACATTTTCAGTAACAAAATTGCATTTAGGTATTAATTGCCTTTTTTTAGAAGCTCGATAGAAGGACCTGGTTCATTATAAGCTGATGACTTTTTTTGGTCCTCGTATTCTTACGGTTTTTAAACTGGCCCTTTGAAAATCTCAGTTTTGCAGGCCTGCTCTAGATGTTGGCTATTTCAGACGAGTCGAGAGAGACATTTTTTCTCGAAATTCGAGACGAGACGAGAGAGTGTCTTCTCTCGACGAGAATTTCTCGCTTCTCTCGAGCTCTCTCTAGCTCTCTCGAACATTTTACTTTTTGCTTATTTGAAATTTTCAATTGTTTATCGCAACTTAAAATTTAAACCTATCAGATATTCAGAAAGTTAAAAAGTTAACTATAACACACGTATTCAATATACATATTAAACGGTAACAAATAATATGTGTGTAATTGGTATTTTGAAGTAGTAATTTATGAAGAAAATATGTCATTTATTTAAAATTCAGTTTTTTATCAAACTTTAAACGAAAACGGTTATATTCATCTTCACCGATTACGAAAAATATTGTTTACATAGTTCTTGGAATAATTTTTATGACAAGAAGATAAAAATTGTATAAAATTATTTCCAAGCAGCTTCTGATAATAAAAAAACGGATCTTTAAAAATATATATAAATTTTTTTTTTTCGATGATTAATTAAAGTTTTTATTTTCCAACTTCGTAAATTGCTAATAAAAAACTGAAAAATTGTTTTTTTTCCAACGGGGATCTATTTTAACTACATAAAATCATAAGTGTTACATATGGTTGAACTCGTATTGAATAGGAGATTCCAATAATGACTGAATATACAGGGTGATGAATTTGAAAAACCAAAGTGACTAATAATTTAAGAGAAACGGCAAATCTGGCAACATTGCAAATATCAAATCTGAAATCACCGTATCTCAAAATAGATGTACCCCAAATTTTGTACAATTCGGACTAGCAATTTACGAGATAATTGGCCGTTTCCAGACTTTTGGGCCACTCTGTATACAATATACAGTGAAGTATTACAAGTGCATTCAAATGAGAAAAAATGTATTTTACATTTGACAAAAAATATTCTTGATAAAAAGTTCTGAATCACAAAACCATAATCAAGCCTCAAATTTATAAAACGGTACATGGTATAAAGGAAAATTTAAAAATAATAATAATAATAAAGCACTTTTAAATTTCAATATAAACCAAAATATTAATTGAAAATTTTGATAGAAATAAAAAAAAAGATGAAAAATTTATTTAAACGAAAAACCTATAAGCAAATATTTTCTCATAAAATTTAACCACAAATTAACCATTCATGATTCAAATAAATTGCACTTATTTTTAAATGATTTTAATTTACCCTATTCAGTAAATATTCCAATCAATGACAAGTGTGTACTTATTAGAAATTTGTGAATTTTTATTAAATTTGAGACTTGATTATAATTTTGGAGGTGTTGCAGCACTTAATAAGATTTTATTTTGTGAAATGTAAGATAAAACTTTTTACATTTGTATAAAACTTTTTGGGTTTTTGGGACAAACTTTTGTGTCAGGTTTTATTTTGTACAACTTCAAGAAATTTTTTATATCCCGAATTGTATTCCAGACAACAGGCAAACAAGTCATTATTAAGTTTTAAAAGTAAATAAAAAAGTTTTACCAATAGTATGTCGTACCGTATATGTTTTAAATTAAGTAGAGTTGATAGGTATCTTGATAGATTTAGCTGGCAGGCGCTGATATAAAGTATCAGTACAAATTCTTTCTTTGTATGGAAAACTATTCAACAGACAGCAATCGTAATAATTTTCGTTCAGTCAGATTTTTCTGCGGATACTCTTGGAGATAAGTTGGAAATACAGCAATTTTTTATCTTTTTTTCGAAAACGTGTTATATATTTTTAAAAGCATTCTTCAAATAACTTTTTCGTTTGAAATCACACGATGGCATCACAAAAATTCTAACTTCTAACTTTTCAAATTTTTTGATTTTTGTATTATGTTTGAATAAAGGTTTTTATTCGAAGTAAATGGTCTCAAAAAATTTTGTCACCCTGTATAGTGGAAGCATACATTTTTAAAAAATTTGATGTCAAGTCATCTCTAGGACAGTTTTACTTGCCATTTACACTGATTTTTCATTTTCAACTCACCCAACAGGTAGGGTAACTTAATCTCATATTTTTTATTTCATGATATATTTATTAGTACGACAGATATTGATTGAATTTTGAAAGTGTGTCAAGTCACCCACTATTACGGTAATGGTGATTTTTGCACGAGCTTTAGGGAATTCCAGAATTTAATATTAGAATCAAAAAGGTAAAGGGCCCAAATATTATTTTTACATGGGCATGATTAAGGGGTAAAAGATCCCAAATATTTTTACACAGGACAAATACTTTTACTTGGACAGACGTACGGGGTAAAGTGGCCAAATACTTTTTAGATGGGTATGCTCAAGGGGTAAAGGGTTCAAATATTTTTACATGAACAGTAACGAGACCAAATATTTTGATATGAGCCGGATTAAGGGAAAAGGGCCCAAATATTTTACATGAACCGGCTTAAATAGTAAAGGCCAACTATTTTTACATGAACAGGTTTAAGGAGTAAAGGGGCCAATTATTTTTTACATTGACGACTTAAGGGGACAAAGAGCCTAAATATTTGTATATAAATTGTTGCAAACCCTAATTAAAAGGCGACATGAAATGGTTCTTAAAAACGAGGAGTAGCAATGTGGTTAAGCCTAAATAATGCCAATGCTTCACAAACCTGAAAATTCAACGTCCTAATACTTCTAATCGGCTTTCGGTCTTTCGTTCAAAATCAAATAGTTGCTCGATTCGTTTATGCTACGAGTTTGCCCGCGGGTGCCTCAAATTTTAGTTTTAGATTAATTTCATTTTTTTCATTCTTCTAATATTAGGTTTGTCAAGGTTATATAAGATATTATATTATAAAAAAAAATAGAATTTTTATAAGTAAATAAACGCCCCTTCCTGAAGCCAATTACACATTGAAGAAAAAATGTTTTTATACCTTCACCAATTTTTATAATATATGTTACGTTTTTATTCTCAGATTTTTTGGTATACAAGGTGACTCAATACTCGGAACCTTGATTTTCATGTTTTATTTAAATGGAACACCCTATATTTTATATTACCAGTAAAATCCTCTAGCATAAACTTTCCATTTTTATTAAGTTAACTGTTAATAATATTTATCTAGTCGCCAATGCATTTAATTTACAAACCTGTGAATTTTTCTAACCTAGAAATGGTGGATATGATTTACACATTAGGTGATATCATAGGGCAGTCCCTTAACCCTTTGATTTTAGACGAAAATAGCTGTTTCTCGTCTAACCCCTTTATGATTGACAACCAGTGATATTTTAAACAGGTAGGTTATTTTTATAAACACACAAAAATAACATGTTCACAAATAACGGGTCTGTTAAAATAACAATAGTTCCCTCATAACCACGCACAAGTCAGCACCTTTTAATGTAACAAATAACACATAAAATAAGGCATTTCGTAACTAGCTGTATAAATAGCTATTCCCGTGCTTGCATAATACAAAAAAAAATGTCACGCTCGCAAGGGAAAAAACTTTTTTCTGGACTCGTAATGAAATATACGATTTACTTAATTTATTTAGCAAAATATACCTTTAAAAAAAATAATACTTTTGATTGCCTTGAAAAGCAAAATAACATAATATGTGTATTAGTATTTATCACAAACATATACTAAATATACTAAACCTGTATTTGATGTCTTATTAAAATAATGATTATGAATTAAAACCGCATTATAATTCGCAATTTCAAATAAAAAAAATGACATACTGTTTATTTCCATCCAAGTGGGGGAAATAAAACTATTAAATATATTACATCAAAGACTTTGAACTTTTAACAATAAAATTGGCACGTAGATATTACAAAACTAGTAATACTTGAAGCGATCAGTAAGTAACTACATAACTTCACGAGATGAAGATTTTTGTGATATTTTTTGCAATTTTTGCATTGGTCAAAAGTAACGTTTTAGAAAGATGTAAGTGCATTTAATCTAATATTTTTAATATTATAAATAATCGTCTGAGGATTTGATGAATTTCCAATATTTTATTGCATAACATATACTTTGTTATTTTTCTACATCAAAATTATTATATACAGGGTGAACCTGATTTATTTTGCTTATACAGATATCTCATAATAGGTATATACAATGTCGGTTAAATAGTGAAATATTTTCGTACTTTAATTGGTAATTCAATGATCTATAAAAATTCTAGATTTTCTGGTTACTTTTGGAGATATTCAACCAAATCCGAAGAACTTTATTTTTGTTTTTTAAGTCTGCGTTATTAAAAAGATATAAGAAGACTATTAGAGTTTTTGTATTTAAATAAAGTTCTCTAGATCCAGTATATCAAAATTTTCATTACGACGTTTTGTATGACCACCTGCAAACTATTTTTTTTTTTTTTTAATAAGGACTACTTTGTTAATAGCTTTTGTATAACTAATATAACGATATGATACACTTGTCCATTTTACTATATTTCGTCAAGAAAAATATCATGCTTTGTAGTTTCTTAGAGGCCGTTTTTATACTTTAGTAAAACAATGTGAATCATTTAAAAGCTAATTAATTAAGTAATCATTTTGAGAGAAAATGATAAAAATTTCTTTCACGTTCACGTCTACGTACATACGTAAGCTTACGGACTCTGGCGTATGTACGCAACGCAAACAAAATAACCTTTTTTTAATTGGGAGAGAAGAAATCCTGATATTGTCATTATCTGTCATGGCACGTAAATGTCACGATGCTTTTAACCTCCGAGCAATCGGAGCTTTTAACAACTTCAACTCAGATTTTGGACTTCAACGTAAACATATTTCTGCGTTGACGTTCACGTTTACGTTAACGTACTGGAAATACTTCAACTCTCTATTAAAATTATCTGTTATAACATTAACGAATAAACAATCTCCTAAGCGATGCAAGAGTATACACTGCACAACTCGTAAACAGTGTGTACATTACAGTAAGTTAAATTAAATGTATAATTATTGTTGTTTGTAAGTCAGGATCTATGACTGTAAAATTTTATTTTATAGAAACTTGTAATAAAATAAACTACACTCCGTGATACGTGTTGTGATTAGTTTACAATAAATATTATATTTAAAGGAAAAATACGCCAACGGTCGAACGAGCTATTTTTTTAAGACCATTTTAGACCCTCTGAAACACATTTCAAAATACTTTTTTTGTGCTGCAAACGCTTCAAAATATATTTTTCTTACCTTAAAACTTTAAAATGTGTCCTCGATTTTCGATGTTGAAAAAATTTGTACTAGATCATTTTGATTAATTTTTTGTTATAGAAACTACTAAATAATAATATTAGACCATCCATAAAGCAATAAACCATTCCAAATTTTTTCGTAAACAGTTTATTTTCTTAATTTACGACCAGGTTAAAGTTCGTCAAAATGATCTAATTTTCATGAACCCAATGACAATTGACATTGGCAGTGTGACATGTGTCTAAAAGAAATGCAATGTTGCCATAACAATTCTAACATAGCAATGGTCATTTTTACCTATGACTGTGTTGTACCAGGCCAACCAATTGACTTCAGTATCAGAAAAATTATATAAAACTAACGATTTAAAAAATACCCAAATCAAGATCTTCTTCCTCTCCCTCATCGGCAGAGTACTCTTCGACGTCAATATTGATATTTTCTAAATTGCAATGATTATACAATTTTCTCGCCAGTTTTAAAAACTCTTCAATCTAACCTAACCAACCCTCACTAGCGTCTGGCCAGTGAACCTCGATCGTGTCTTTATCGTGGGCATCTAATAATAAGGAAATATACAATAAGAAGACGAAGCAACGATTTCTTGTAGGATGGCAGCTTCGCCGCCACCAGAACATTTTAACCCATACCTGGCTACGCCGACCGGCATAGACTCAGACGGCCTGAACACAGCTCAAATTGAAAAAAAAAGTATTTTTTACAAATATTAGATAAGTACCGACATGCCGTAATTAACGCATAATCATCATGAAATGAAATAAAAAGACGGGTGTCTATGATTACTACAAATGTTTTCTCTTCGGGATCCAAATTCACCTGCTGACCAGACACTACGTAATTTTTCGACTACAGTGTACGGCCTGGAGCCATTTACAAACAGCCAACTTTCATTAATCGAACTATTTCCTGTCGTATAACGTTTTCGTACTCGATTTTATTTCTTACTTGATTTGGCAACACCGCATTAATAGAAACTAGAAACGTCAATTGTCATTGAAAATAATTTACTGTCTATTTATTTTTCTAACAAACTAAAATTGAAAAATAAGAAAATTTTATCGTTTATGAAAAAATTTGGTATGGTTTATTGCTTTATGAATTGTCTAATATTGATATTTAGCCGTTTCCACAACAAGAAATGGGTGAAAATCGTTTATTTTACATTTGTTTTATGATGGAGACCCGACAACAAATTTTAAGGATTTTAAGGTAAAAAATTTTTTTTTAGTGTCGGCGCACCCAAAATTGTTATGTATAGAGTGTTTCAAAGTGTCTAGAAATTTTCTATAACATTTCAATAGTTACATCCGCCGTTCGAGTATCGGCGTATAATAGCTATTTGGACACGAATACATTATTTTACTTACATTAGAAGCTTTAAAAAGATATTGAATTGATTTCTCCTTGTGTTTTTTTTTAGTTTTACATGTGATTTGTATATTGTTTTACAATGTAAAACGAAGTAAATCTTGCTTTAATGTTTTTGTCACTCATGTTACTTGTATTCAGGCAGTGGCGATTTGCCCGTAAGGACACTTGGGCACGTGCCCTAGTATAATAAACAAAAAAAAATAACTTACATATTTTATATTTTCCTCAATGCCTATTATTATTTTATCTAATATTCAGCGCAAACCGCGTTGGCACGACACTGGACGACCGGGCGTTGAGCAACGTTCCGAGAATTCCGAAATTAAGTGGGCACAGGGCACAGTAAATGTGTAACTCTGTTGTTTTCTCTCTCATTATGATGCGAAAAACAAGGACAACGACAATATCGCTTAGCAAGAGATGAACACATTCGATGGATTATACGTCACAAGCGGGGCGCTGTCCTTATCGTGACGTGCTGTACCCATGGCACAGATTACCTAGACCAGATACGAATGTACGCAGCGGCATCGTTACCGGCTCCCTCACAAAGGCGATGCCGGTTTCGACTTAAGGTGCGCGTTTGTTGGACCATGATAAGAATTTATTTATTGTGATTACGAAAAAACTTTAGTTGGACCATTGGAATAGTTAAGAAATAAAATTACAAAGAAAAATAACTTTTTTTTTATAAAGCAGTCAAAAATATGATGAAAAAAAATCAATATTTATAAATGGGACAAAATTTTAATTTTTCTTATGGTTTTGTCTGACTTTTTCGAGGATTTAAAATGTCTGTTTGCATATTCTGAGTCTTATGAATAATTTAATGGTGTACATTTTCGCAAATTGTTGGCAAGGATGACCAAATTCTATTTTGCTCATCTCAAAAAGGTATGCGTTGGAAATTCCAGGCTTAGTTGACAAACTATCAAATAGAGATATAAATATTTTTTCTAATTTGAAAATATAAAAGAGAATTTTTTCGCTGGAAGATTTTAAATTGCCAAACTCCTTTTCTTCAGAGTCGTATGCTTTAAAATGCTCCTACACGATGGAATTTTACATCGAAGTCTGTCAATACTATTTATGTTCATAAAGAGGATTTGATTAAACGTCTCGAAGAAATTATGAACACAGAATTCGATAAAAAAACTATTAATCAGAATAAAGGGTTGATAAATTTTGAAAGACAGATTTTAGTTTCTGGTTATTTTTCTTCAGCAAAATAATGCCAAATTGCGATATACTTTTTGATCAACTGCAGAGTAGACAGCTCGATGCTCTCAAGGTTAAGATAAACATATCAAATTTTGCAGCAGCTATTCAAAATATTAGAAATAATATAGACACGCTAATTCATAAGGAATGGCAATCACAACAAGACCCACAAGAACTAAACTTAAACGACAACACCCAATCAGGTTCAAGTACAAGCAAGAAGAGACGGTTTGTTGAAAAGGAGGACCCCATTCCTAATTTAAGGATATGTAAGGAAATTTCTGATACAATAGTAGTGCAGGTAAATGAACGTTTTAGTTTTACTACCCACCTAACAATTGCAAGTTTTTTTGATAGTCAAAAATTTAAAGACTACCGAGGTTGTTTTCCAAATGTGGACGTTGAAACTGTGTGTAGTTTATTTCCAAACATAAACAGCTTAATATTCAAAAACGAACTGTCCATACTTTACACCCGAGATGATTTTGTGCAAGACAATGGGGCCGTACCGTTATTACAAATGGTTTTCGAGAACAATTTGACAATTACATTTTCGGAATATGTGGAGCTGCTAACTATCCTGTGTACAATTCCCATGACCACAGTGGAGAGTGAAAATGTTTTTCGACACTAAAATGTATTAAAACATTTTTAAGGAACACTATGTGCCAAGATAAATTGTGCGCGTTAGCCATGTTATCCATCGAAAAAAAACTTATTCGGTCCATTTTAAATTTTAATAATCTGGTCATCGATCACTTCGCTAGCCAAAAATCCAGAAGAATGGACTTCAACTATAAAAAATAGTATACAACTGCAGCGGTACCTAGTAGTTAGTCTTCAATTTTGTAATATTTAATTTGTTTTGAAATATATTTAATTTTCATTGAGCGGAAAACTTGTTTTCCTAAGGGAAAAACAAATCCCGGGATTCCTTTACAGTGTGCGCTCCACTGCCACTAGTACCGACGAGCCGCCACTGTATTCAGGTACTTTTTTCACATTATTTTAATTCTTTTCGCCAATTTTTTAAAAAATCACTTCATTTTACATTGACTTATATAGAAAATGAACGTTAGTGACGTTTGACCTGCCAACTACAGTCAATTTAGCGAACTTCATAAAAAGAAGAACACAAATTTGAAGTTTGATCATTATCGATTCACCTCCTTATATCTAGTCTTCATAGATACACTATGTCACGTCACGGTAACGGATTGTGGTGGAAGGCGTTAATTTATACTAATTTGAGGTAGCATATGATCGAAAATAAATTTTAATCAGTTCATGGCCAATCAGATAACCACATTCCACACCACAGTACGTCATGCGCGAACTCTACGAGATTTCATCGGCAAAGAATCATACCTCTGTAATTTTTTGTATCATGGGTATGTAATACAAATATGCTCTCGCAATTAAACCGTTGATAGACTTTTTAGAAGACCGAAACAGTTTGGTTTTACATATTTTCTGTGGAAAAAAAAACATTTGCCGGTAAAATGTTGGTTGACAAACCTCAGATTCGTATTCAGCAACCCTTAAAACATAATGGTACCAAATAACAAAACTTCACCAAAAGATATTAAAGTATATTCCTACCTATAGGCTTTAACGACATTTTTCTTTTATTTGGACTGGTCCCTCCAGAGTACCCCATGGACAAAAATAATTTTTAATATGCTTAAATATAATTCAGTTAATTTATTTCAGCAAAAATATTTCAAGACATTAACTGTAACATACAAGATCCTGATTTGGACAAATGTCTCTTAAACGGCGTCAGAAAATCTTTGCCGAGATGGCTGAAAGGAATTCCAGAATTAGGAGTTCCGCCATTGGATCCTTTATACATTCCTAAATTAACTATCGACCAAGTTATATCGGATTTTGTTAATATAACTGCAACGTACACGAATTTAGAAGTTATGGGATTCAGAAACACCGTTATCAATTCACTCAAGTAAGTTTTTTGAATTAATTAATTATTGGTATTAGTATTATTTTTCTAACGTCTTCGATGAGTAACATTTTCTACAAGTAACATAGAATGATCACGTACATTTTTAATTTGTAAAGCAGTTCTTCTATCTACTAACTTTGAGCAACTTATAATCGTAAATAAAGGGTCAAAAACTGATTGGACCATCTATGGAGAAATACAAGGATATTGCAATTTTTGTATGTACAATTGAACCAAATCCATCCACTTCCAAAGATTGCACTTTTGATTTTTTTTATTTCTCTGAGAAAAGAAAAACATACAGGGTGTAACAAAAAGATGTAGAGTAAATTTAACAACAGTTTCTGGGGTCGAAATTAAGTCGACTCAAGCTAACTTGCTTACATAAAAAATGGATAGTAAAAAAGTTTGAGGGTGTTAAAGTCAAAATTGTACAACTGATTTTGTGATCGTACTCTAAAACGGCTCATCAAATTTTTATGAAAATGTACATGGAGGACTATGCTTATCTAAAAGGAACCAAGTGACAAATTGATAAAAATGAGTTAAAGGCATTAAGCGATAGGGGAAGGTTTAATTTACCTTGTATAAAAAGATTAAATGACTAGGTTCTACTCTAGTACCATATTTTAGCCAATTAACTAAAGCACATTAGAAAACCTAAATTCCTAATTTTAATAAAAGGAACCATTTATCAAAGATATCTTCAAACTCATGTTTCTAGGTAGCTTAATAAACTTATAAAATTGTGCCTATGATAACATATTAACTATCTAAAACTAATTCAAAAAGCTGGAATTATTTATACTCATTATGTTAATAAAGCATTATCATCTTTAACCCTTAATATCTCAAAACTCCAATTTGGCGCTTGGTTCTTTTTAAATAAGCATAGTTCGAATGTTAGTATACAGTGACCAATAAAATGATCACTAGAGAGAGACTTATATTTGCATTACTTAAGATGAAACACAATTCGAGCATTAACTCTTATTTCTTGTATTGCATTTTGTTTTCGTTGACTTAGATCTCTACTTACTCTTTTATTATTTTACTATTTTCTTCTCTATTTTGTTCTATTTTTAGTTGTTAGTTTTGTATTAATATATTTAATTTTTATTTCTCACTTAGTTTCAATAAATCAGTAAACTTAAACTAAAGAGGTACCTAATTAAAATCGGATTTTAATATTTTTTTGTGTTAATCTCTAGAGCTAAGCTATCGAAAAATTACTAACGTATCAAAGCCAACTAGATTAATATATAATAATTAATTGTATTTATTAATATCTAGGTGGACTATTCATTTGACACATTATAGACTTTATATTCCGTTAGGAAAAATATAATAAGACCCGGTTTTTACTGTTTCTTGTTAGAATTGAATTCTCTGTCTAAATAACGTATAAAAATTAAACATTTTAGTTGGTGTAGGTAGGGCCTAGGAGGTTTAGGGGGGTGAGTTTTCTTTTATGTCATTTTAGTTCCCTCTTCCTATCATAGAAACCGTTTTAGGCATTTTTTCAGCTTTAGGTTATGAGATATAGCCCCTTGTAAGTTTTTAAATTGTAAATAGTAGAAACCTGAGTTAATGAATGGTTTATATTGTAAAGTGAACTGAGCGAATTGGTTGTGGTTGTTTTTGTGTGGAATTTGAGGACAATAATTTTATTTTGTAATATTACAATGAGTCGAAGCACGTATTGCAATAGTAACATATATCACATGAATAAATTTAACAACCTCAATGTGTCGTTTTTTAATTTACCAAAATAGGATTCGATCCATGTAAGTAACACAAACAGTAGCCAACTTTTGCTACAACGTATGTATTTATTATTTATTGTTTTAGAGCAACAAAATGGTTTCAAAACGTTGGAGAATATTTGTTACAGAAAGAAAAATATCCGAATTCCCATTATCGAGTTTGCAAATTTTTTAAAAATGAAACGCCATTGGCTACTTGTTTGAAAAATAAGAACAAAAATGTTAAAGTTACAAATAACAGTAAAACGTAAAAAAATATTTATCATGAATAGACTTACAATAATTAATCGATAATAGAGTGTAGTATTCTTTTAAATAATTTACCGTAATTAACATTGTTTAAATTTATTTATCAGATCATGAAAGTACTTATTTACAACCTTTATTATCAAATTTTTAAATTTCCCGCTACGTTATTTGTTTGATATCGATGAAACAGCCACATAGAGGGTCGGATGTTAACTGTGTTCGAGCTGGTCGTTGTTAAGCATGTGCTTCTTATGAGCGTTTCCTATCTTTATGTCCCTTATCTTTGCGAAGGCGAAGGCTGGAAATACTTCGTGAAATAATGTGTCTTGAGAATATTGAGAGCTTTAAATGTGTGCAACGATAAGACAGCACTCTACAGAGACGTTTATGAAAAAAGGTGGGAAAACCTCCCATTTAAAAAGTACTAGATATTTATTAAAACAAAAAGCAGCAAATTTTCAAAAATTTAATAAAGAATGGCGCGTATTGTTTTAATTTGAAACTCCTGTTACAAATTTTTAAAATAAATACTTTTGGAAGGTTTAAAAAAAGTTTTGTTATTGTTCGAATTTCCTAAAGATTTTACAAAAATTGGAATAAAAATAAATGTAAAGGAATAACAAATTTTCAAGATGTTCTTTGCTCTAATTAGTTTTAAATATGAAAACTCTTGATTCCAAGTTTTTTCGTATGAACTAAATATTCAAAATTTCAAAACCGGCATCATACACATGTTTTCGCTAAAATAGTCCAATTACCATGGGTTTTTGTATAAAAAAAAATATTTTAGCATATTAATTCATATCTACAGGATAATTATCTATTGAAATTTGTTTGTACTTTATACTTAATAATTAAAATACGTTAAAGGTGAACCAGTACACATTAGTTGCTTCTTCTAGTAAATTCGTTTATTATACAGGGTGTTTTCAAAGTTGAGTCATTTATTTTAACAGCTTCTAGAACTCGTCAAAAGAAATCGATATACCAAAAATCACCTAAATAAAAGTTGCATATTAAAAGAAATAAAAAGGAATTTCAAAATTTTAAAACTAAAACAAATACAAACTATTTATCCGCATATTTTAATATTCCTGACCACTGCCAAGTATAGTATATTACATTAAGAGTGTGGAAAGTGACATTTTTCACACGAGTGGGAAATATTGTCGCACGAGGCACAAGCCGAGTGCGACTATCACACGAGTGTGGAAAATCACTTTTCACACAAGTGATGTACAATATTTTTCCTACGACCACAAAATATTTTCATCAAAAAATGTAAAACAAGGTTATTATAATAATTAAAATGTATTTAAAAAAAATAATCAACAACAATCGTATTTATTCAATTTTCATATTTTTTAAACAAAAAAAAAAAATAAAAAAAAACAAAAAAAAAAACAAAAAAAGTTCTGGCCCCGCCAGGATTCGAACGCGGTCGTTCGCCAGGTCTCTCAAATGGCAAATTTGATAGTTTGATTCTAACCAACTGAGCTAACAAGCCTTTCGTCAATTGAGTGATCTAATCGGTTATATGTTTAACCAGAATAAAAAGCAAACATAATCTTAGTTATTTTAAAAAACTTATCGTTGTTTGTTTACTACGACAATTTTACTTATCTAGGTATGGCTATTTTTTTTTTGTTTTACGGTTTTGAGAACGATTTTCGGTTAGTTATTGGTATCAAGCGTTTAGTTCGTATCACTTTAATTTTTTTGATATTTTATACGGAAAAATGATCAACGTTTATGGAAACAATGAACTAGTGGACATAATACATACGGAGAGTGCCAACAAAATGCAGCCGCAGCATGTCGCCTTTACGCGGAAAGGTTTCCATTAAGAAATCATCCGGCTCCACGGATGTTTGTAAATTTAGTTATTCGACTTCATGAGACAGGATACTTGAAAGAACAACGAGGGGGTCACGCTGGAAGACCTGCTCCACCTGAAATGGTAGAAATTGAGGAAAATATTTTAGAAATGGTGGAAGATGACCTAACAATAAGTACCAAAGCCATAGCAACTCAAGTCGATGTTTCCCATAGTAAAGTGTGGAAAACAATACGACAGGAACAATATTACCCTTATCATTATCAACGGGCATTACAACCTGAAGATCATCCTAGAAGAGTTGAATTTTGCCAGTGGTTTTTACAACAGTTGAACAGAAATGAAGATTTTACGAAAATAATTTTAGCTACAGACAAATCCACATTTACACAAAATGGGATATTCAATGTTCACAACAATCATGTTTGAGCAGTAGAAAATCAGCATGCCGTAAGAAAATCTAATTTCCAACATAGATTTTCATTACATGTTTGGGCTGGTGTAGTAAATGGCATGCTTATTGGACCATACTTTTTTTCACCTCGGCTAACCGGTGACATTTATTTAGATTTTCTTCGACACTATCTGCCAGAATTATTAGAAGATGTTCCACTGAGTGTTAGGCAGGATATGTGGTTTCTACATAACTGAGCTCCACCGCCTTTCAGAAGAGGAGTTCGTGAATATTTGAATGAACAGTTTCCGAATAGATGGATATGGAGGAATGGACCCGTTTCTTGGCCTGCACGTTCCCCGGACCTAACGCCTTGTGATTTTTTTCTGTGGGGTTATTTAAAACAGTTGGTGTATCATAATGGAGAATTAAATACTGTGGAAGAACTTCAAGATGGCATTGTAAATGCTTGTGATGTTATTCGCGGACATCTGGATTTAATTTTTGAGGCCTGTCAGGAGTCGTGGGTACGCCGAGGAAGACTATGCATTAATCGGACAAATGGTGACAATTTTGAACAATTTTTGTAAAAATGGAATACATTTTACCGATAATGAATGTTTTTAATTTAAAAAAAAACAACTCCCTTATTATGCAACTTTTATTTAGGTGATTTTTGGTATATCGACTTCTTTTGACGAGTTCTACAAGCTGTTAAAATAAATGACTCAACTTTGAAAACACCCTGTATACT